GGCCACAATGGCCTGCTGGATGGGGCTTAGGCTGTGCTGTCACTCAACAAATTTCTCCAGCAACAAAATATTATTGTTAGGATTAGGACCATTAGGATCCAACAAAGAGTGTGACGTCGCATGGTGAACGGAGAATTTAGGCTCTTAAACTCAGTGACTTAGGGTCACAGTCCCAAAGGTTGTACTCGAAGCTTAGGCACACTTTTAGCTCAATCAAGCGTGAGCTCTGGTAGTGAAATTAATCCAAAACTTGAACAAACGGCTGCAGTGAAACATACATCTATACAAGCTATGTCATGTACATGTAACTGGTGCTACATCTGATCACGCCTCCCGAGTTTAACATCTCCCAGAAGTTAAGCGAGTCAGGGTTAGCACTTAATTAGCTCGTAGCCCTTCAGTACATCTTGGTCTTGAAGAAGTACCTACTCTAGCTCAAGCCGTTCAAGCTTTCAAAGTCAGTTCATGCTCACCTTCCAGGTAGTGGAAGTTCATGCCTTTCATGGCTGTTGTCATTTTCTCCTCGGTGACAGCTTTCGTTAGCACGTCGGCCAACATTCGGTCGGTGCCTTCCTTCTTGAGACGAAACTCTTTCTTTGCTGTACGCTCTTGTACCCAGTGGTACTGAGTGTCAACATGTTTAGCTCGTCCCAAGCCTCGACGGTTTCCCATGGCGATGCCAGCGGAAGCGTCCATTGTCACCTCTTTGCTGGGAAACAATCCCCAGTCTCTTGCAGTTGATGCGATTCCAAGCATTTGACATGCTCCGGAAACAAGTCCGTAGTACTCGGATTCGCCACTGCTCAGGGAGACAACTCCTTGGCCTTTGCTGTATGTAGTGAGACAGCATTTGTTGGCCATGAGCACGCCTCCTGACACACTCTTTCGTGTCCTTATGCAACCTGCATGGTCGGCGTCTGACCACATATTGAAGGGGTTGCAGGTGCTTTGGTTTGGAAACAACTGTGCAACTCTTGGTCGATACCTGACATATCGAGCCAATCGTTTCAGCATATTCCAGTGCCTCGATGTTGGATTCTGTAGACCTTGTGCCAACGAGCGCGTTGCAGTTTGTAGATCAGGTCGATCTTGTGCCAAATACGCGGCTCTCATAGCAATAGATCTATACATCGTTGCATCTTCGGCACTCAGCGGAACTTCTTCGTGCTGGAGTTCCTCTTGACTTGGCTTGGCCAAAGGTGTCTTGACCTTGCCTGGTTGACCAGTGCCTAACCACTTGATGATCAACTCTGCATGTCTTGGATCTGGTTCCCACCAAATGCCTTCATTTGACCAAGTGATAATGCGATTTAACACTCTGATCTGTTGGCTTGCCTTTGGTGAACCTGGTGGACCAAGAATGCCTCGTTCCACAACTTGTCATTCTTTGGCTGCTGAAGTGTGAAACCACTTGATGTCATCAAAGCTTCCAACGGTCGTGAAATCGTCTCCATGCACTTCTGTTCGAAGTTCTCTGGATGCATGGTAGTAGATGCATGGATTAGACTCGCCTTGTAAAAATCCTAGCTTCTTCATGAACTCTGCAATGGTCAGCTCCCAATTCATGGGTGCGTCTCTGGTGCCGTAAAGGCTTCTGACCAATCTTCCTACCACATCTCCATCTTCTGGCTTCTTGCCTTCTGATGGAATTTCAACATAGAGTTCTCTTGTGGCCTTGGAGTAGAAATGAGCTCTCTTCACATCTAAAAATCCTAGAAATGATTGTTTTGATTTTCTTCTTTTGCCTTTCTCCAATGGAAGGCTGTCGCTGACTGCAATGGTTAGCAGTAGCTTCAAAGCTGCTAGGCTCGGCATGGCTGCGAAAAATTCGTCAAAACCTGAGCCTCTTTTGATTTCTTGTGCTACCAATCGACTTCTATAGAGAGGATTGGTTTCATCCTGCTTGTTCACATCTACCCATCGAGTTCCAATGATTTTGGTTCCTTTTGGAACTTTGCTTCTTGGGATCTTCTCCCAGACTCCCATTGATTCGACAATGTCGATTTCATCTTTCCTGGCTTTCTCTACCTTCTCAGGTAGAAGCTCTTTTCCACTGATGTCATCGTAGTACCACCAGTCTTTTGCCTCTTCTGCCATTTCTTCTGGCAGTGGGATCTTCTCTTCACACACTGGTTTCTCTGGGTCGATGCTAGATAGCACTCTCTCTCTCTGTCTTCTAGGATTAGGCTTTCTACCAGATGTTTTTTTACTTATAAGTCCTGTTACGGTACTTATACTTATATGTAACATAAGTATACTTATGCAACTTATGGACCTTACCAAATAAGTAGCACAAGTGCGACGGTAAGTAGCACATGGTTTGTTTTTGAAGGTTTTGATTCTTTCTGTCCGCATGTAAATTTCAACCAGATACAGCCGCATAAAAAAAGAAATATCTATATATACATATATATTTGTTTGCTCGTGTGAACTGGTCGGCGCACCGGAAGTCTGGGGTATATAGAGATCTCTGCGGCGGCGTCGGCGACAAAACCAAAACGCGCGGCGCGGCAGCCCCAAACCACCAAAAAAAACCCAAGAAAAACAATATGTCCCGTCCCGGCTTTCCCACAATTTTCCCACAATTTATTTCATAATTTTTCAATCTTCCCACAATTTCCCTTATTAAAGGTAATTGGCAGGGTCTTTCCCACATTCTACCTCTCAAAAGTTTTCCCACAATTTCCCACAATTTTCCCACAATTCCGGCCACTCCGTTTTCTTGCGCCCAGTGAGTGCTCTAGAGTGGCCCAATGAGCCCGATAGAGGCTTCCAGCTTATACACCTCAGAGACCAGCACACCCACAGCGTCCAAGGCGTACAGGATGTCGGTCGCCAGCTGTCTATAATATATATATATATATATGCTCCCCCAGTCTATATTTGCTTGAGCCCAACTGCCAGGACAGCCCTCAAAAAATCTATCAGTAGAAAATAAGTACAACTTGGTTTTTTTCGTCATACTTACGTTCTACTTATAAGTATGCAAAATTTTTAACATAACTAGCGAAACTATATAAATAAGTACGATAAGTTCCAAGCGGTTTTTGTATAACTTACGGCACTTATCATGGTTGTTACTAAGATATAAGTCTAGTTGTCCCATTCATAACTAAGTTATAAGTAAAAAAACATCTCGTAGAGCCATCTCAATGCTCTGGATGTCTCTTGTTCTCTCGGCTTCATCTTCATGTTCGCCTTCTGCCTTTCTCTTCTTGTCTCTATCTACTCTGGCTTTTGCTGTGGGTGATCCTGCTGATTCATGTTGTTCTTCGTGTTCTCTCTTTTCTCCATGTGGTTCAGGTTCGCGTGGTCTGCGAATACCTGATGCTGAAGCTGATGCTGTGCCTGGTGTTGGTGGTGCTGCTTCTGGTTCGTACCAAAGTTCTGTAACGATATCCATCTTGTGTGGTAATGCTCCATTGAGTATCTCTGGTGGAAGGTCTGTCGTCATGACTCCACTCTCAATGATTGCATTGTTTGCGTGGTTTCTTGTGACTCGGTGCCAGACGGTAGACCAATCAGGTCCTCCTGGCATTGTGGTTTGAAAACAATAAGCTTCGACGTCAAGTCGTGCGAACACTCGACATGAATCGGGAACTCCCGATGGTCTTTTGCTTTCATATCCATGAAGGATTTGAGGTCTTTTACCACTGACTGGTTGCGGCGTGCCAGTGATTGCCTCTCCAACTCGGCTTTCATGTCTTGCCACTCTTGGGTTCTCTTCTTCTTCTCCTCTGATGCTCTCTTCAAGTCTGTCTCGACACCTGTTGGTGTGGTGAATGCCTGTAGATCTTTTGCCAATCTGTGTGGCATCACAAGCTGGGCAACCTGCAGTGTACCCAAACTTTTCCAGGTCTTTCTTGGTGATGTAAAGCCTTCTCAGCTTTCTTTTCTTGTCATCAATTGCCGGTGGTTGCACCAAAGCTTCACCACTTGGGCTGGCAATGATTGGTTCCCTTGGGGCTGCAATCGCTAGTTCTTCGCGAATTGCTTGAGGATCCCAGGGAATCCCAGTGATCGATTTCAGCAACTCTGAATCGTATCGATCTTCTTCTGGCTTTCTCCGAATGGACTGCACTGTGAAAACGCCTGTGGAATTTCCTACTATCTTCTCTGTGGTGGTGTCTTTCACTCCTAGAAAAATTCCCTTAGTCCATTGGGCCTCAAACTTGTGACCTCTCTTGAGGTATTCGATGGCCTCACCAAAAGGTGGAATTGCTACTTTCCATTCACGTCCACGAAGTCTTGAATACGGAGTCTTTCCGTCTTGAAGTTCGGTAGATCGGAAAACAGATTGTAGACTGCAGTGATGGGCCCCTCAAGTTAACATAGGTTATAAGTTTACTAACATATGTTATAAGCTAGTGTAACCTATGTTATAACATGCCTTAACTTGGCTAACTTCTGATAGGTCCTTATAGAGTTATAACTAAGATATAAATATTTATGGAACTTGTAAGTTAGTTAGCCTGGTATGGCCCCAGAACTTACAAACAAGTTACAGAACTTACAAAATTTGTTATTGTTTTTTTAAAGGTTTTAAGAAACCATTGAACACATTTGGAAAAATCAATGTTTTTTAGTGTTCGATCAGTTTTTTAGACAAAAATCATTTGGATTTTAGTTAATCGACTCCAGGCTGGTAGTGCGTATTACATGTTCAAACGCTGTATTGCGCATGGCTATTTACACACATCATGGCATTGCCCTTTTGCAGTATCATATACTGGTTATACGTGTAACAGTTTTCATGTTTCCTTTCGGTTGCTGTTTGCGCATTGTGGATGTGTTCCCTGAATCAGTCGCAGTTGTGGCGGTGGTCCCGCTGCACATATTCCTGCTCCGTTCGTTTTCGCTCGCGGGGTCTTCGTGGATGCTCAATGTATATAGGTGTGATTTTCGCGCCGGTACTTTGCCGCGAAGTAAGTAACATGGCGGGCGCTGCTGATGCCAACAAAGGTCCCCCCCACCAGCCCGCAAAGAGTGGGCGCCTGGCAATGCAGGATTGGTGCTCCTTCCCGCTTTACATCAACAAGAAGACGTGGACGTCAGTTTTGGAGGCTCCTGGGTCCCTGGTTGCCTTAGATGTGGTGCTTCGCCACCTTGTGCAATTGGGCTTGCGAAGTCCATCAGAGCAAGCTCAGGCCATGCTGGCCGCACTTTGTGTTCTGCGGGATTTGAGGGATGACTCAAGCAGTTCCAAGCAAATCCCCGATGCGATGAAGCTCAGATCCATCTTCCTGAACGTGAAAGCTCGGGTCCATACATCTATGTTCAAAGCGAAACAGGATGGCGATCAGATGTTGCCTCATGGACACCTAGTTGCACTACCTGCAAATCCAAAGGACGCGCCAGCTGGACTTCTCTCGCTGGCCTTTCCAGACGGCTACGAGAGCGAGTCAGACTCAGCGCCGTTCTCTCTCATGGACCTTGCCAACGTTGCCAGGGAGATCTCTCTACGCTCGACCAACAGCAAGGTGGTGCAGGCTGACCATGACTAGGCAACCAGGTAAAGCTTTGGGCGCCTTGCTTGACAGAGCTGAGGGCAAGGGTACTACTCAGCAACCCCAGCTTGCTCTTCCAGCACCACCATTGCCAGCAAGCAAGGACGTGTTGCCAGAGAAGCCGCCTGCGTCAGCAGATCCACCCCTCCCTTGTCCTGCGCTTTGTGACCGACCGTCTTCGCAGCCTTTAGAGAGCGTGCCAACCTTGGAAGCCTTGCCTTCGAAGCCTTCTTGCGCGCCGGAGGGCTTGCCAACCTCGCAGGTGCAGGACGAGAAGGTGAATGACATGGCTCCACACAATCGTGGCATCTCTCTTGCTGAGAGCGTGGAAAAAATGAAGGAAGCAAGGGTGAAGTTGAAGGAAGGCTCAAACCAGTCACATGGTCCTGTGATGAAGAAGCCAGCCAAAGGACCTTCCAACCCCAAGTCCAAGTCTTTGGGCAGCCTGGCTTCCAAGTGTGCCACGCAGCCACCAAAAAAGCCGAAGCAAGGCTTTGGACAGGGAGTCATGAAGAGACCGAGCATCGCAAAGGCTGCTTCCAACCACAAGGCCAAGAATGACGAGAGGAAAAGGCTGAGGGAAGAGATCATTGCCAAGCTGGACGTGCCTACCAGGAAGAAGTTCAAGGACGGGTGTGCAAAGTGCCGCTGGCGCAAACTATGCACTTTGTCTTGTTGGCAGTACCGTGGGTACTGATCTAGTCTTGGATTTTGGATCTTATTGCCTAAGCTGGGCCCTGGCAATGGATCCCGGGTGAAACCATCCGTAGAATGTCGCCAAGAAAAGTCATCGCGGCACAGAATCGACTATGCTTGTGGAGGAGTCATTGTTTCGTGATTTCAACTCTTGATCGGTTCGTTTAAGCCCCATAAGATATAAACAGAACTGGTAAAACCCATATAGATGCGGTCGCCCGCACCTAGCAAAGGTTGCCACAAGTTGAAAGAGCTTATATATATATATATAGTTCATAGACGCGGTCGCCCGCGCCCCAAACCTTTTTTTTTTGTGTGACCACTTAATTTCATATATATAGCTGGTTCCAAGTAGGGTGGAAATCGGCGTGGACAGCTAGCTGTTTGAATCCAGTTTTTTTGCACCGCTTGTGAATCCCAAGTTGCGCTCACTGTACCTACGTTTTTGGGCGTGCTCGTGGAAGCTGGGCGCTCTCAAGCCATGGAGACCTGCGCAAATATGACCCTCGCCGAATACACATTGATGTGCCGTGATGCTGGGATGAGGGTGTCTGGGTGAGAAATAGAAACTTTCCAAACACTTTTGGATGGGCGGAGATGGGTCTTTGCGGTTCAGAAGTATAGCTCACCTTCCTTTATATGTATGCTCTGTTGTGACCCCGAAAGGAATAATGCGCATCACATAATCAATTAAGGAATCTGTCATGGACGACGATGCTCCCACGTCAGTAGCGCTCTCCGATGAAGAGGACGCAATGTCGCCAGCATCCCTTTCAGAAGTGAACCCTTTGGAGGCTATGCTGGGAGACGATTGGCATGGGCGAATTCAGAAGGACCTTGAGCTGAAGGCCCAAAGCCAGAAGGATGTTGAGCTGAAGGCCCAAAGCAAGGAGAACGATGCTGAGCTGAAGGCTCAAAGCAATGAGCAGGTTGTTGATCAGAACGCCCAAAGCAAGGTAACGCCACCATGGAGGTCAATGACAAGCGAAGTGCCCTCTCAAGCTGATGTTTGCGAAGTGCCGCCATGGGGCCAAGCGAGACGGCGCGCCAAAAGGGCTAGAGAGCAGGATGAGCCAGCTGAGGAGCAGGCGCCCTTCACCAAGGAAGTTGAGGAACCAGCTGAGGAGCAGGCGCCTGAGCCGAAGCAGGAAGTGGAGGAGCAACGTGTCCCTGCCGGCGCTGCTCTCCTAGGCTTGTGGCCAAAGCGGATGGCAAAGCCGTCAAGACCTGCAAAGATGGATGTGGATGGCCACACAGGGTTGCATGCTAAAAGCATGGCAAGGCCAAAGGAGCAAATCGTCCATGATGATCAGCTGGCCAACTTTCGAGAGGACATGAAGCAGCTGGCCGAAGAGCTCGGCTGGTCTAGGAGGGCTCTAGAGCAGTTCTGCGGAATGGAGAAACGCAAACGCGGCAAGAATTCCCGACCATGGCAACAGTGTGACTGAGAAAAAGCGTGTAGCCAGTCATTGCACTTGCTGCGGTAGCCCGCAGAGCTGTTTCAGTTTAAGATACTCCATAATAGAGGTTCATATATAAAGCCCTCCAACACAGAGTCCATTCTAGTAATTAATTAAGATTCTTTCAGAGACGCATCTCTGTTTGTCATCAAGAGTGTAACTCTGTTAGCTTCAATGCTGGGTTTTTCAGCTTTGTCATCAAGATGGTAACTCCTTTTTATCTTCTGCAAATAGTTTCAGCTGGTTGTATGTTTTGGTCACTTCGTCTGTGCTGTGCTCGCTCCAGGGCAAACCGCTGACAGTTTGTTGAGGCCCCACGGCGGCGCCGTTTTGCTGGCGCCATGTACCGCTATGGCCGTGTGGCGCCGCAAGATTGGCAAAATTTCCCAGAAGCCACCTTCGAGGACGGAAATATGTGTGATTGGATTGGCCCCTTACCCAAAGGTCAGGTGCTCCGCCTTCGATTCGGGGCAAAAACGATGCTTGGACATGTGCTTGTGTGTTTTGCTTTGGTTGGTGTGGGCTGTTGTAGGCTGGAGCCAAGTATACGTTTTGTCATTGCACCAGGGTCACCTGCAATGCTTTTGTTGTCATCATCCCTAATAGTGTATACATGCAAGTGTCCATTGTTTCCAAGGTGGCCTGAGAGGCTGTTTGTTGGTACAACAGCGGGCTTCCCAGGCCACCTTCTGAAATGGTCGATTTTAATCCAAGGATCCATTTGAACTTGCAGTCTCTTGGTGGATCTTCTTCTCCAGCACACCTGGTGGTGAACCACTACCAGAAGCACCGGGTCTTTGTGACCAAGGGTGGCGCTACTATCCTTGTCTCACTGCCACCTGAGAACTATGGTTTTCACGATCAGGTGATTCAGAGGGTTCTGATCCTGAGGAAAGTCGAGAATGAGCTCGAGGTTGACACTATGACTGGGGAAGTGCTCGGGCGCTGCGCTTTCGATTTCTCCAGCTCAATGATGGACGCAATTACATCAGCCACTAGATTACATGATTTGACGTGTCCTCAACATGATCAGAGACTCTTACGTTTCTGTGTCGGTGAGACATTTGTTGGGTGCAACTCATGGCGCACCCGTTCGGATTCCTTCTTCAATCAACCCCAGGAGCTTACCAGGGTCAATGACATGTTGGCCACACAGAAGGAGCGCAGCAAAAGCCTCAAAGAGCAAGAGAAAAGACTTGATGAGCAAGAGAAGTTGGTCCAGGCCCAGGAGTTGGAAAATAAAGGGAGCAGGCAATGCCAGGTGGCTGTGATGAAGAAGTTGCCAAGTGCGGCATCGACACCGAGAAAGAAACCATCGAGTGCCAAGGTGGCTGCAGACAAGAAGCCGCGTGCATGTGTAAAGAAAGCGGCCCAGAAGAAGCCGTCAAAGAAGTGATCGCCAACAATGGACCAGAAACTGTCTTCAAAAGAAGTTGCCTGTCGCAGTCATGTATGTTGGGTTCTGTGATGAGCGCGGTAGCCCGTGCAAGTCATGTTTTTGTTTGTTGACGGTCTGTTTGGACTTAGGCTACAGTGACTGTTCCATGCATTAAGACATATCACCATCAAACAATGTCAATGGTGTGGGAAGATTAGAAACGTTGTCACAAAATATTCACTGCTTTGCCATGGTTGCCGTGACACATGCGGATACATCTGGATACCATCCGGATACATTATCCTTGATGTATCCGGATGGTATCCGTTTGTATCCCTGTGTATCCGGATATATCCGGATACACGGGGATACATGGGGATACATTCGGATACCATCCGGATACATCTACGATCATGTATCCGGATGGTATCCGCATGTATCCGGGGTGGCCTCGATCTATGAACCAATTGAGTGATCATTTGAGATCTCAAAGGCAAAGTTAGCCGGTCACTGTCTTTGTGTTGGTTCTGCACCATGGCAGATGCTGTAGCAGAGACCATGGCAGTGGAGGAGGATTTCCAGACCGTTCCGGCACAAATTCCAGATCCATTGGAGGATAGCGAAGGTCCAAGGTGTCAGAAGTGTGACACACCAGTGGAAGCTGACCAAATGGTCTTGAAGCACTTGACAAAAGGCCCACGGAACAAGGTTCTGTGCAAAAGCTGCCACGCCGTGCAAACAATGATGGCTAGATCATTTGATGGCATGCCAGCCGGATGGGACACGCTCTCCCACGAGGAAAGCGTCAACTTCTACAAGGCCATGTTGGAGAAGAAAGGCGATGGTCCTTTGCGTTTTCAGCTTTTGCGCGCCGAGATGAAGGCCTGCCTTGTTCACCGTCACATGGAGGAGACGAAGCGAGGCTTCAACGGAGAGTTCCATCCCCTTGGCTATTGGCAGCAGCGTGGCTACGACGTGACCAAGATCGAGGCCCTCGCAGAGTCCATGGAGCATCCAGTGCTAGGCCGCACATATCGTGTGGACATATTTCACGTGTCCACCGACACCATCTTTCAGAAGGTCGAGGAGGCCCTCCAATTGGTTGACAAGGCTGCCACGCGCAAGCGGATCCCCAAGGCCAAGTCCAACAAAAGAAACAAAGGCAATGAGCCAGAGGAGCCAGCCGAAGAGGTTCCTGTCGACCAGGACCTCGTGGATCTGGTAGATCTGGAGAGCGAAGACGAGGTGGAAGTCGTTGGTGGGAAAGGTTTGACTGAGAAGCAGCTTGCGGCTCTGAAGAAAAGGGAAGCTGCAAAAGCAGCAAAGAAGGCCAGTGCAGAGGCAGCAAAAAACACCAAGGTTGCCACCACTTTGGCTAGCAAGGCCCTGACATGCTTGCAGCCTGTGTTGGACAGGATGCAGAAGGCCAAGAAGGGTCTGAAGGAGGGCGATGCTGATGCGGCAACCCTGGAGCAAATGGAGGAGAAGCTGACCCTGGCTGAGACTGTGGTGTCACAGGCCCAAGACATCCTGAAGAAAGTCGGCTCTGGAAAAACAGTTGCCTTGTCTGAGATTGAAATCACTTCGGACAAGGCATTGGCTGCCGAGATCAAGTCCATGAACAACGTGATCAAGTCCATCAACTTGGCAAAGCGGGCAGCCAAGAACGGCAATACGGGTGACCATGACTGAGTGGCTTTGAGATAGGGGTTCTTGCTTCGGTGACCTGGCATGTCCCAGATCACGCAAGGTGTCTAATTACAATGAAGCCCGTGCTCAAACGGAGGGGTAAAAGAGTGGGAATACAAATGCGTGTAGATTCTAGTGCGCCACCTTCTCTCTCTTGAACTGTGGCAAGTCACATTTGTATTCTATGGAAGTTCAAGTCTTGCAGATTTGTCAACCGTTTGGCGGTCGCCCGCCGAATAGTTCATGGTTTCCATATATTCATATACTATATGTTTTGTGTTTGTCAAACGTTTGGCGGTCGCCCGCCGAATATAGTTCATGGTCTCCATATATTCATATACTATAGGTTTGGTTCAAAACATCAGGTGCCCGTGCAGTTCTGTCCTTTTAGGTATCATGCTCCCTGTCGTCTCCATGCATGACACTACAGTGGAAACTTCAGTGGTGCAGGATCTGGCAAATGGATTTTCGGCACTGTACCAATATGATAAGGAGCAACTGGGTTACGTGGCCAACTTTGAGCTCGAGAACTTGAAGGAAACCTGTGTATGGCTTGTCGATTTCTACACGGACAGTTGGTCGAAAGCAGAACTTCTGAGCAAGGCTATTTTGTGTCTAGCCTGTTTGCGGTGCCATTTCGAATTTGGTGTGGCCTTGGATGAGGAGGCCTACTCAGGCTATGTGAAATTTGGAGACCCACCAGGGCGCAGCATACAACAGAAGATTGCAGCATATTCCCAAGCACATGGTCGCTGTGTTGCCCTGAAGCGAAGTGAGGTGAGCCAATGCGTGGGCTACTTGGGGACGGTGCAGCAATTCTTCAGGGTGCGCGAGAACAAGGCATTCTTCGATGTGCTATGGCCTGTTCAACAACTACTCTCTGAGGTGAGGGCCCACTTATAGGATTAATTAACTCTGTGGTGCGTTAAGTGAAAAACAAGGTGGTTGCCCGCCGTGTTTGTCTATCCAATCAGTGATGTTGTATTATCTACTTAGGATGACGCCAAAGAAACAAAAAGTCTCTCAGCTCTTGGCGCACCAAAGCTCTCTAAGCGCCTGGAAAGCCAAGCTAGTGCTAAACAATCGTGACCCTCAAGTTCCTCAAAGCGGCGCCTGGAAAAGACAAAGCCAGCAAATCCTTGAGCCAGCTCG